TTTGTGGTTTAGACTTTGATGGGTGTCCGGTGAAATGTTATTCTTCCTGGCAAATTCTTGTACGCCTTGTACTTAGTGGATTTGGGGTTAACTTTTTGAAGCACTTCCTGTTCTGTGAATGATTGGAGAACTGTTTTATGTTGACGTAGACAGATTCTTCGTGGTAGAAAAGGACATGATCCATGCTCGTCCTACAGTACTACACATATAACATTTATCACCATGCCTTTCTGGGTGATTGTTGCCTTGCCTGAGAGATTGTAACTTTCGCTTTTGATTTTGGTCAATTGAATATGGTTCAAGACTGTGTCTTCCCTTTTGTTTTTCTTTTACTTGGCTGAAGCTGTGCAAGTGCTGTGAAATCACAGTTTTCCTAAGCTGCAACAAAAATAATACTGGTGAACATTTTTGGGTACTCGCTTGTTTGTGAACTGGTATGTAAAACACAGTGGTCTTGTCGTTTCCAAAAGTTATTAACGCCATTTGATTTCTCGTTTTGAACAGAATATCTCTCATCTCTATCATGTTCCTAGATTGAAGGATGTGTGGCATGAAAAAGCTTCCCAGTTGCAGGGAATTGACGTTCTTCAATTTTCAAATGATGTCTTTGCATCCACATGCTCATCTTGCTTGTGTTTCTTCAATGGAGGAGGGACTAGAAAGGGCTTTAGAAATGAGGGAACACCAAACTTTGAGACATCCGGGAGAAGTTCATTTAATGGAAGACAATGGACTAATATTCTTCTCGCTATCAATATCTTGCAAGTATTATAACAATATGGACAAATAACATATTTTAATTTTCTTTATTGATCAAGCAACAGCTACTTAGAATTTATTTTTGTGCTCCTTTTCCTCTAATTTTATTAGTTATGTCATGTGTGCAGAGTTTATTTTGCGCAAATTGCTACCCAAGGAAAGCTGTTGTTCTGGGGTGCTAAGGTTAGACAATTAAGAGTGCTAATTTGGCATTGAAACTTCTTCTATGGGGGCTCTTCACCTGTGAGTTAATTTATAATTCACACAGGTTAACAGTCTTATTGACAAGGGACAATTTTGGAGGCTGGCCACTTCTTCTGTTCTGCATGCAAATATTGGGCACCTCATGGTCAAGTCTACATCTTACGCCTTTGCATCTTATGCGCTGTTGCTGATTCTTCTTTATCTATCTGATGAGAAATTTGTACTTTCCAGGTTAATTGCTATTCTTTGAATTCTGTTGGTCCTACCATTGAGAATCTTAGTGGCCCAAGGAGATTTATTGCAGTTTACCTCACCTCTGCAATTGCAAGTAACAGCTCATAAACTCACTGCAATATAAATGAAAATGCTTCCTTCCTAGTTTCCATGTTCAATTCTTTCATGAAAATCAGGTTCAGCAATGAGTTACTGGTTCTGCAGAGCACCTGCAGTCGGGGCCTCAGGAGCCATCTTTGGATTAGTAAGTCATCCTGAACTCTGTCCTATAAAAAACTACTGAAGTTTTTACATGATCTACTTGAAGGAGAAGAAAATATGATTGCACATGAGATTTTCGTTCCTCTTTCTTGGTGCCTGCATTTCTATCTTGAAAACTTATGCCTGCAATATGATATTATTATATTTCTCACTGTTAAGACTGGTCTTTACTCTGAAGTGGGAGCATTAACTGATGGTTCTAGGCTTGTAGAATATCATGGAAGTTTGCAGCTAGAGAGAATTTTAAGTCAAATCCAAAACCAACTTCATATCAATTTTGACTTGTTTTATCCATCCTCCCAGTGAAGAAAGGAAAAGGAAGAGCATATAAAAAAGAAAAGAAACAGGAATAAAAAAGCCCCGGCAGACCTTGCCTTCTCAAATAAAAGAATTTTCTGTCCTGTAGCTCTCAAATCTTTAGATCCTTGAATCTATCATGTCGCCATTTACAGTCCCTTCAAGCTATTTATGTCCCTCACAACTTGCTATTCTGTATCTGTATGTTCGATTTAGGTTGGATCTCTTGCAGTGTTTGTCATAAGACATAGAAGAATGATCGGAGGTGGCAAAGAAGATCTACAGAACATAGCTAAAGTGATATTCCTCAATATGGTATGTGATCCAAGGTTCCTGAGAAACCAGAGGAGTTGCATGGCAATATAGTTCGAAACACTCTCTTTACATCTCAAAATACTGAATAAAGTTCTCTGGTTTCATAGAAACTTTTATTTTTAAGTGAATTCAGATGTACGACCTGTTCTTGGTCCATCTATCATTTCAGTGTTGAGTCATTTTAATTCCAAACTGTGGTAACTATTATCTTTTATGCAGATGATCGGTTTATTAACAAAAGGCATCGATAACTGGGGACATGTGAGTATAGCATTACTTCCGATGTTTTATTTCTTATTACTTGCCCACCAACTATTTTCCATTTAATGTCGAAAATTTCAGCTGGGAGGCCTGCTTGGTGGAGTTGCCACGTCTTGGTTTGTTGGACCTGCATGGCAGTATGGCCCCCAGTTGCATGATGGTCGAAGAGTTTTCATAGACAAGGCACCAATCAGGTATCTGACCAACAGAAAGACAGAACCGAAGAACTTTGGTTAAATTGTTGATTTTGCTGTGGAGCTCCGGTGGACTGTAAATAAGAAATGCCCTGTTCAATTGAATTGAATGCAAATTGGCTATGCCTTGCATTATGCTTTTTGTGCAGTGGCTTTAATTTTCTCTGGTGGGATACCATTAAAATCTTTAAAATAGATGTAAAACCAAATATGAAGAGCTGAAAGGGAAACTGGATTTCTAATTTTATTCAGAATATATGTGTTCTTGCTTAGCAAAATCGCCAGAGTCCAGTCTCATGATTACAGTGCCATTTTTGTATTTACAATACTCCCAATGTTATAATTAGTAATGTTGCAATTTAATTGATTATATTCTATCCAATTGAATTGTCAAAGATCACATTCCAAGTCACATTTCTTTTTTAAATATACTAAAATAAAAAAAAAATCATAAAACTATTGAGAGTTTATTTTTTATATAGTAATTTTATCATATTGTAAATGATGTTTTTATTATAATGCTACTGGGATTTATTAGTTTAATGTTTTTTCATGGTATTTTGTATGAAAATATATGCAATTCATGATTTATTTAACAAAAAAATGGGTAGAATATAATGAAAGTGATGTTGATAAAACCAATACTCATGTCACAAATCTTAATATAATATGAGTATGAATTTCATGGTAAAGTGATGAATGTCATCAATCACGTAAAATATTCATGCGATTATTAATAAATCACAGGATATGCTAGATAACCTGGTATGAAAGATTTGGAGCAAAACTTAAAAGACAAAGAACGACAATGTCTTTTTCTTCGTTATAGACCTGCAATACACTTAATTATAGACCTGTAATAAATCCAGTGTCCTGAATAATAATATTGTTATTAACCCAGTTTAATTTGATGGATCAACTTCATGATTCATTAAGGCCGTTCTTCATCGGATTAGATTTTATTAGTGAATAATAGTTGTTTTCTAAAATATTTTTTATTTAAAAAGTATAAGAATAATTTTTTTTATTTATAAAAAATTATTTTTAACATCAGTATATTAAAAAAATTTAAAATTATTAAAAAATATATTAATTTAAAATAAATAAATAAATTTAATTTTCTTTTAAAATATCTTTAAAATATAAACAAACAGGGCTACAAGGTAAATCAGGTTGGAAGGCCCCATTAGATTAGTTTTTATGGTTGAAAAATATTTTTGTAAGAAATTGATTTGTTTTTACTTCAAATTAATTTTTTTAAGTGTTTTTAGATTATTTTTATATATTGATATCAAGAAATATTTACAATTATTTAAAAAAAAATTATTTAAATATATTTCCAAGTAAAAAATACTTTAAAAATAATTATTATTATAATATCAAACGGGTTTGAATTGACATGGCATAAGTTGATCAACTTAATGAATCAACCTAATCAAAATTTAATTTAATTTAAAAAATAATTAAAATAAATGATATTATTTTTTATTAACCTAAATTAATGCTTCCAACTCATTACTCAAGCCTAACCAAGTTTAACATAAACATTAACATTAACATGTGAAATCCCAAATGCTTCCTAAAGCTTTTGATAGGTAAAGAGGGTATGTCTCCATGGAAAATTGGCAACGGAGAAATTTACAATTTATGTTCTATAATTTAGCATTTTTTCTGTGTCTGCATTTCAAAAAATCATTAGCAAGGATCTATGAATAATACTCAGAAACAGGTTGGATTTGGATCATGCCATGGCGTGTAGCTATAACGGTCAAAAAATTCAAAATCTTGAAAACAATAAGGGCAATTGTTTCATTTTAATCCTATTTTTGCATATATATAACTAGATAACTGCAAGCTTTTGCTTTCAAAATTAAACCACTTAATCCAAAATATGAGATTAAGAAATTTACTAATATTTTATTTCATCAATTTGACTTGAGATCTTGATTACAGTAGATTAAGAGGCCTAAATTTTGATATTTTTTTGTTTGAAATTTTTTATTTATATTTTTATATTATTTAATATATTGATATCAAAAATATTTTTTAAAAAAATATAAATATTATTTTAATATATTTTCAAGTAAAAAATACTTTAAAAAACAAAAACTATTATATTCTTAAAAACAACAAGCCCATTAACCTTTCTAGTCTCTTTTAAAATAATATCTAGTATTATATTAAACCAATCCTTGATCCAAGAAATTTAAAATTTAAATTTTCACCCATAAATTTTTTATTAAAATCAGATAATATATGAATTCAATGAAATTTAATTATTCTAATTATATTTTTAATTACTCAAATTTTAATTATCTTTTTAATTACTCAATTAACCTAACTAAACTCAACACAAAGTAAGGAAAAAAAAAACAAAACCTTAATTTAGTAGTAACAAATAATGTGATGGTTCATAGATTAATTAAATAATTGAAGCATTATAATTAATAAAACCACTAAATAATAGTGAAGAAAAGAAAAGGACAAAAAAAAAGGGGAAGGAGGGAGCAGCACCCCACCATCTACAGGTTTTCAAAATTTGAAAAACCCTCAGATGCCAAAAAGTTTTCATGTACGAGCGCCCTCTTCTCTCTTCCCCCCTCTCTCTGAGTCAGTCTCTCCCTGCTCACACAGATCTCTCTCTGTATCTTCCTCTCTTTCAAATTCCCCCACTCAAAGTAAGCAAGCTCCTAAATCTTCTCCTTTTCTTTTTATAATAATTATTTGACATCTTTAATGAATGTTCAAATTTCACCTGGATTCATCTTGAAATGTTAATTCCTATCTGGGTTTTGAAATTCTTGAGCTCCCTTTTGTGTATTTTCATTTTCTTTTTATTTTTTTAATTAAATTCATTTCATTCGAGCATATGGCTAAATGAGAAATTTTATGTTTAATCTGTGTTGAATTCTAGTGTTTTTCTTTTCTGAAACAGGCGGCTTTGAATGGATTAGCCAAGAATTCAAGTGAAATGAAACGGAGATGTTCTTTATTTATTTAATATCAAACAATGTCTTTGTCCACTCTAAATTTTAGAATATTGGAATCAGTGAATAATAATAATTTAATTATTAAATTTAATAGCGAATGCGAAGTGGGTGCACGCATCAATGAATATTGTATCTTTTTGAAATCTCAATGGCTCTTTATTAGTCTGGAGTAATATCATCCGTTGCCTAACACATGTTTGATTTAAGTCCCTACAGAATGGAATCTCTCCCGGATGCAGTTGTTCAATACATCTTCTCATTCATGAACAATGCAAGGGATGTTGCTGTCTGTAATTGCGTATCGAAGCGATGGAAGGACTCTTTGCCTTACATCAAAAGCCTTTACTTCCCCAGGAACTCTTTTGACAACCAATCTGGCATCGACCATCCTGATACCATTGTGTGGAAGATGATATCATCAGTTGTTAAATTAGAAGAGCTTGTTGTATACAGCCCCTTCTCGAGCATAGGCCTTGCCTCATGGATGCTGCTTGTGGGGTCATCGCTCAAACATCTTGAGCTTAGAATGGACAATCTTGCTGAATACCAGAACTGTATTGAGAGCCCGTCGAAACTGGAATGCATCAGCACCGCAAAGAATTTGGAGTCTTTAAAGCTTTGGGGTGTCCTGATGGTAAAATCTCCCAAGTGGGATGCCTTTCCAAAACTTCAAAGCCTTGAGATTGTCGGTGCTAAATTGGAAGATCATGCGTTAACTGCTGCCCTTCGGGCATGCCCGAATTTGAAAAACTTGTTGCTACTCGGGTGTGAAGGGGTTAGGTCAGTTTTGATCGAGTTGCCTAGCTTGGAGCAATGCAAGCTGGACTTTTATGGTGTGGGTAATTATTCACTAACCTTGACTTCACCTAAAATTGAATTCCTCGAGGTTCAAGGCTGTAGTTGGATCAGTGTTCGTGAGACTGCTTGCCTGAGGAGTCTTTCAATTTCAAATAATGCTGGTAATATTTTGATTTTTCAGTTCAGCCACTTATCTAAGAAGTTTAGAAATGCTGTTGCTCTCTAATCTTATTTTGCACCTTCAAAACCTCCTGCTTGTAATCTGTTTCAGGGAGAGTTTATATGGTAGATTTTGGAAAACTCGCGGCCCTGGAGTTCCTGTCTATCAGGGGAGTCCAATGGTGTTGGAATGCAATAAGTAAAATGCTTCATTTGGCAAGCGAGGTGAAGCATCTGTACATGAAGGTTGAATTTACCGGGGACTTTGATAACCTGCAACCCTTTCCGGAGATTGACTTCGTTGATTTTTTTAGTAGCCATCCTAAGCTGCAAAAATTCGATATCCATGGAGCAATGTTTGCTGCTCTCTGTCAAAAGAACAGCTTGAAAAATGTGAGTTGGAAAATCCACTATGAACGAACAAGTCTATGCTTTTGCTTCAGTACTGCTGTAATGGAGCTGCGTTTTCCGGCTTTGCAGGTGCAGTCTGGCTTTGTGATTCCTTGTCTGGAGGAGGTGGTGGTAACAGTCAGATCACCGTTGAATGCCGGGCAGAAGATATGCACCCTTGGGAGGC